ACCATGCTTTTTTGTAGTTGAGTAGTATTCCATGGTATACATATACCACATTTTATTAATCCACTCATGTATTGATAGCCACTTGGGTTGTTTCCACATCTTTGCAATTGTGAATTGTGCTGCCATAAGCATTGGAGTGCAGATGTCTTTATTATAGAATGTGCCTTTTTTCCTTTGGGTAGATGCTTAGTAGTGGGATTGCTGGGTCAAATGGTATTTCTATTTTTAGCTCTTTGAGGTATCTCCAAATTACCTTCCACAGGGGTTGTACTAAACTTACTCTAGAAACAAGGTCATCATTACACAATGATAAAAGGCTCAGTTGAACAAGAAAATATAACACTTATAAGCATATTAAATATATGCACCCAACACAAGAGCACCTAAGTATATAAAGCAAATATTGATATATCTGAAAGAAGAAATTGACAGCAGTATAGTAATAGTCAGAGAATTAAATACCCTACTTTCAATAATAGATTAAACATCCAGACAGAAAATTAATAAAGAAACAGTGGAATTAAAAAATACTGTAGGTCAAATGGGCTTAACAGACATACAGAACTTTTCACCCAACAGTAGGAGGGTATATATTCTTCACAAGTGTACACAGAACATTCTTCGGGAAGGATCACATCTTCAGTCACAAAAACAAGTCTTGACAAATTTAAGAAAATTGCCATTATACCAAATATCTTCTTTGACTATAATGGAATAAAAATAGAAATCAATAACAGCAAGAAAATGAGAAAATTCAGAAACACTTGGAAACTAAAGTATACAACTTTGAACAGTCATAGGTTTAAAGAGGAAATCAAAAGGGAATTTTAAAAATACCTTGAGGAACATTTATTCTATACCTCATTCATTGGACATGTTTACATGAAGGGAGGTTGAATTCTTTCAAGTGCTTTTTCTGAATCTATTGATATGATCATGTGGTTTTTGACCTTTGTTCCATTAATGTGGTATAAATTTGCATATTTTGAACCATCCTTGCATCCCAGGGATAAATCCCACTTGATCACAGTGAATGACCCTTTTGACATCCTGTTGAATTTGTTTTGCTAGTATTTTGTGGAGAATTTTTGCATCTCTGTTAATGAGAGTTATTGGGCTGTGGTTTCCTTTCCTTGTGGTGTTTTCGTATAGCTTTGGTATCAGATTAATGCTGGCCTTCCAAAGAAGACATAAAAATGGTCAATAGGTATATGAAAAGGCGCTGAACATCACTAATTATCAGAGAATGCAAATCCAAACCACAAGATATTGCCTCACAATTGTTAGGGTGGCCATCAAAAAGGCAAGAGATAACAAGTGTTGGCAAGGGTGTAGAGAAACGGAACCCCTGTACACTGTTGGTGGAAAGATAAAATGCTGAAGCTACTATGGAAAGCATAGTAAGCGTATGGAAAGCATAAGTTTTTGAGGAACCTACCATATGATCCAGAAATCCCACTTCTTGGTGTATATATCCAAAAGAATTGAAATCAGGATGTCCAAGAGTTATCTGCACTCACATTTCCGTTGCAGCATTATTCACAATTTCCAAGACGTGGAAACAACCAATGTCCATCGTCAGATGAATGGATAAAGAAAATGTGGTATATACATACAATTTAGTATTATATTATTCAGCCTTATAAAAAAAGAAACAACAGGAATGAACCAGGAAGACATTGTGCTAAGTGAAACAAGCTAGTCACAGAGAAGAAGTACTCCATGATTCTTCTTATATGAAGTATCTGAAATAGTTGACATTACAGAGGCAGACAGTAGAATATTGATTGCCAGGGGCTTGACAGCAGGTGGGAATGGGGAGTTGTTATTCCATAAGTATTAAGTTTCAGTTATATAAGATGAGTAATTCTAGATATCTGTTGTACAACATAGTGCCTGTTATTAACAATACTGTATTATATACTTAAAAATTTGTTAAGAGAGGAGATCTCATATTACATGTTCTTACCACAATTAAATAAGTAAATAAACAAACCAAAAACCTTGTTTCACTTGATCTTAGCCAAAAGGCTGAGAAGTAATAAAACCTTATTTTAAGAAAATGTGACTTCTATTATGCTAGCAGACTCTTCTTCTTTCTGGCTTTGATAAAGGAAATTGCCATGTTAAAGAGGCCCATGTGACAAGGAACTGAAGGTGGCCTTCCATCAACAGCCAGCAAAGAACTAAAATCTACAGTCCAACAGTCTGTGAGGAGCTAAATCAAACAAGTG